TTTAGAAAGTTCCAATTCGATGTATAACATATACATATTTCCAGGTAGACTTACCTCTCCTGAGGTACGCTCCAGAATTATCCTCCATAGTCCTCCTCGACATAGACGACGTCGACAACCTATTCACGGGCAAAGGTGACGGATCAGTTATGGAGCTGCTGAGATACATGACCTTCAGATCCCACTCTGTCATTACTTCAATACTTTACGGGATCTTGAGGAAACTCTCGAAACATGTTCCAAGGTCCACCACAGAGTATTGCACAAGAAAACTGGATGAGCTGAAATCGGATTTCATTAAGTTATTAGGGAAGGATGGCGTTTTGCTGATCCCAAGTTTCACTGCTGAAGCACACCATCACGGAGAAATATTCAGGAAAGCGTTGGACTCCGCTTACTTAACTATTTTCAACGCCTTGGGATTACCCGTAACTAATTGTCCAGTAAGATTCACCAAAGGTGGTCTTCCAGTTGGAATTCAGGTGAGAAACAACTGTGCAGTAATTTAAGGTTTTTCACTCTAAATTCTCCAAACAGTGAACGGGTGAGTGGTTGGAAATTAGAGAAAGAGACAATGGTAACGCTCCCTTCGGGGTGGAAATGTGTCCACTCACGATTATAAAACTAATAATAATGATGCATGTGCAGCACATGCAGCCTCAGCCTATATCCATCGACATACTCCAGCCCTGAGAGTGATTTATTAGCATCTGTGGCACTTTTACAGTGTTGCCCTACGCTCCGGAAATGTAAAGAATTAAAAAATGGTAAATTCATTTGATAGTCATTTCCCACCCACAAGCAGATACAAGCTAGATCTTCTCCACCATCAAAGCAAGACAAAGAAAAGAGGTGGAAACAAAACTTTTCTCTTCGAACTTGGCAGACTCTATACAGAGCACTCTGTTAAGATTGGATGATCATTGAGTCCTTGATGGGGTGACCCCCTCTCTTGTCTCTAATCTCAAGGTCATGCTAAATTGACACACTAAGGCAGAAATCTAGGTCGAACGAATGCAGGAGGATGTCATTCTTGACTGACTGCGTCTGCGTCAGACCCAATGATCATTGGGGATAATCGTGCTAAAAAGGGCGTCAATGAACTCGCACCAGTATTTTGCAGACTGCTGGTGTTCCCCAGGGATCCATAATGTCTCCAACCCTCTTTTTATTCTGTATCAATGACTTATTGTAAAAAAACTAGAATCCAATATATTGCTTTACTGACAACAGCACACTTGTCTCGTCATTTCGTTTGGGTTCCAGGCCATTGACTGCGAATGCACATATTCACCGGCAGAGTAGAAGATGATCACTTGGTGATCGAAACACATGTCGAGGTGCTAAAAATAACGATTTGCTGGTGGGAAA